TCCTTCCTGCAGTCAGGTAAGTGTTCAACCAATACCTGGCATTCAATGTGACTAAACATCCCATCACCTCTACTCATGAGCTGGCACCTCATTGACCCCACTGTCCTGTTACTGATACCATTAGTCTCTGACCATTCTCTTGCTAAGGTCATTCTTTCCCTTAAAGTGGTGGGTTAGTCTGATAGATGGGTCTATGCAGTGCAGTGGTTAAGTATGAATGAGCTGTAAAAGACCTTAAAAGATACCTATTTCTCCAAACTTCACCTTTTTCAGAAAAAAGCAGTTGAGTCCCTGTAAAGTAAAGCCACATAGCCTAGCCATGGAAGTCTAGACAGGAAGCCAGGGGTATTAGACACCTAGTCTAGTGTACTCTGGACTCTTTCATATCCCTCTTGCCATCTCATTGGATCTGTCATTTTTTCTTTTCTTTTTTTTTTTTCTTTTTCATTTTTATCGGTACCAGGGATTGAATTCACGACTGCTTGTTTGCAAGGTAGGCGCTTATGCCGCTGAGCTAAATCCCCAGCCCCTGTCATTTTTTCCAATATTTTCAACTCTCATTTTTTTTTGAGACAGGGCCTCACTATGTAGTTCATAGGCTGCCTTTGAACTCATTATATAGACCTGGCTGGCCTGCCTCCGCCTCCCAAATGCTGGGGTTGCAGGCATGTGCTACCATGCCTGGCTCCATCACTTTTTAAAAATATTTATTTGTTGTGGTACTGGGTTTCAAACACAGGAATACTCTATCACTGTAGTATATCGCCAGCCCTTTTCCTTTTTTATTTTGAGACAGGGTCTCACCAAGTCGCCCAGGATGGTCAGCATTATGGAATAGCTGAAATTACAAACCTGTGCCACCACACAGTGCGTTGATTAAATCTTTATAATCTCTTGCCTGGACTGTTGACACAGCCTCCTATCTACCTTTGCATACTATAGTCTCCTCCAACTGTAGCTTTGGCTCATCCCACCAGTTTCTTGTTTTGTTTTGAGACAGGGTCTCACTATGTAGTTCAGGCTGGCTTTGAACACTAGGTAGCCTCACCTGGCACATCAAACTGTGGCAGTCCCCCTGCCTCAGCCTTCCAAGTGCTGAGATTACCAGTATGCTCCACCATACCTAGCACAAGTTAATGTTTCTTAAAAACATCATTTCCATCTGGTCATTCCCCTTGTCAAAAAGCTGTTAGTGGTTCTTTGTTGCCTACTAAAGTCCAAAATTCCAAGATGTGCATTAAAACACCTCCAAAATCTGATGCCAGTCCCACATTTTCAGTCTATTCACACTTCCCTTTTATAATCCTGTGGCCCAAGGAACTATTCATTTCTTGAGCAGCTCATGTGTTGTTATAGCCCATCGCCTTTTGACATACTGTTCCTTCAACTTTGTGTTATCCCCTTGATTTTCCTTCTATGGAAATTTTCCTGATCTCTCAAGGCCCAACTCAAATGCCCTAGACTTTTCAGATTCCCCTAGCCAGAATGAATCTCTGTGATAATATATGTGTCAGGACTTGTCATAGGTGTTCAGCAAACATGAGTTTGAATTTACCTCCCTCTACCTTTTTCACCTGTGCTCCTGCAACATATTGCTAATACCTGTTTTTAACACTTGTTTCCCTTACTTTGTATTAGAACTAGTTAGTTAACCAGTGAAGCTGAATGTGGTGGCGCAGGCCTATAATCCCAGCACCAGAGAGGCTGAAGCAGGAAGATCACCACAAGTTTGAGGCCAGCCTGAAATGCAAAGTAAGACCTTGTCTCAAAAACTCAAAAGAAAAAAAAGAGACATGTTTCATTCATGTTTTCATCTTTCACAGCCCCTGACAGAGTACCTAATACACACAAAATAGCTATTCATGTAATGTTTATTGATACAGAAATTAATAGTCCAGTTATGGCTTGTGTCTACATGTCCCCAAGCTTCAGGTCATTATAGGTGGAGCTTTTTTAGAGGTGGCTGGGTCTAGAGTGTATGCCTGATTCATGGTGCAATGCCAAGATTAAAAGTGTGTGGTCACTAAATCAGTTCACTGATTGGATTGGCATCACCCTAATCTTGGTAGCCTGGATACAATATAAAGGACAAAAAGAAACTTGTTTTGCCCCTTGCTTGCTTTGCTGCTTTCTACCCAGAATGAATAGTTTCTTCTCTGCAATGCCCCTCTACTATGTCACCCTGCCTTGGAGCCAGCCAATTATGGACTGAAACCTCTATAAACTATGAGCTAAATGAACTTTTTTCCTCCTTTAACTTTGGGTGTTGGGTATTTTGTTTTGGCAACAAGAGAGAAGTAGCTAAAATAGGCCCTTAAAAAGTATTTTGTCAGCTGGGAATGATGGCACATGCCTGTAATCCCAGCACTCAGGAGGCTGAGAAAGGATTGTTGCAAATTCAAGATTGGCCTGGGCTACAAAGTGAGTTCAAGGACAGCCCAAACTGCATAAAAGACCCTGTCTCAAAAAGACAAAAAAAAATGTATTTTGTCTACCCAGATGTGGACTCTAGGAGACTGCACTCTAGGAGACTGAGGCAGGAAGATCACAAAATTTAAATCCCACCTGAGCAATTTAGTAAGACCCTGTCTCAAAATAACAAATAAAAAGGGGCTGGGAATGTAGCTCAGTAGCAGAGCATTCCTGGGTTCAGTCCCCAGTGTCAATCAATCAATGTCTGGGAATGTTTCTCAAAGAAGTCTTTAACAGAGGAGACAGAAGTATATATACTGTGGGAGACAACTTGAGTGACTCCCCTTGAATGCAGAACAATTGCTATAATTTTGATTATAGGGAGACTTATTTCCTTATACTAATATGTACAGAGCTGGCTATGGTATTTCTTTCTTTCTTCAGTTGGCTCTAAGCATTGCAAATAAGCTAGCCAGGTACTGGTATGTAATCTCCAAAGCCATCAGACAGTCTCCTATTTTCTTGCATAGTGTTCTCTATAGAAGATATGGGCACAGCGGGATGTTAGAGCCATTAGCTCCAGGAATGTCAACTGGGTATGAGCCTCAAAGTAAAGAGGCTATGACTCCCCAGGGCACAAAAGTTTACACATCAGAAACTGAAGCAACAGACTCTTAAAACAATCCAGTTGCTACCTTAATTAATTATGCAAATTGATCTTCTGCCTATCCTTATCTCTGCATTTTGCAGAGATGCTTTTCTCCCTAGCTGGTTAGCCAGCTGAAGTTACTCCGTAATTCCCGCCTTCCTCACTGTCACTCATCCCTGAGCCACCCCCTTCTTCACAAGATAATAAATTCTGGGAGAGGCCTAGGATCAGGGCCTTTGTCCACACATCCTCATGGGGATTGGATTTGGGTAGCTTTGGCTGCCCTTAACTTGGACTATGTTTTGGTGTCTTTACTCTCACTATGGGTGGCATTGGAGGTGGTAGATTGGAATTAACTTGCCGGGATTCCAATAACATCTCAATGGGCTTGTAAATATAACTTTTTGGCTTGTGAGGAAGACTAGAAAAGGGATCATGATACTTGGGTGATGGTAAACAATAATTGGAATTACAATATGCTGGGTATGTTGCTTAGAAAAGTCTTTAATGGAGGAGACAAAAGTACATAAATGAGGCTGGAGATAACAGCTCAGCAGCACAATGCCTGCCTGGCAAGCACAAGGTCCTGCGTTTGAGTCTTGGTACCAAAAAAAGAACTCTTAAACAGATGATATAGTGGACTATGATAAGTGCTATCATGGAGATGCACAGGGCAGAGGAAGAGAAGGACAGCGAAAATAAGGCCTCAACTCCTGAATTTAGCACACAGAGGCCACATTCCTCTGTCTTTGTATGTGAAGGGAAAAATATCTGACTGGGCTTTGAAGAATGAAAGAGTTGGTTAAAAAATGGTATGATAGATAAATTTTATCCTAAAGGCAGTGAGAAAGGAGCCAATGACATTCTAAGCAGGGGAGTGACTTGAGGCAGATACACTTTTTTTTTTAATCAGTACCGGGGATCAAACTCACGACTGCCTGCTTGCAAGGTAGGCGCTTATGCTGCTGAGCTAAATCCCCAGCCCCCAATACACACTTTAGAAAGATCACTCAGAAGAGAGTTTGGAGAATGGGTTGGAAGAGGCCAGCAATAGAAGTAGGGAGATAGAAAGCAGGGGCTGTGGATTTAGCTCAACTGCATAAGTGCCTGCTTGCAAGGGTATGGTCATGAATTCAATCCCTAGTACTGATTTTTAAAAAAAGGATAGAAAGCAGATTGGCTAATCCAATTGGAAGTTTCTCAGCATCTGGATTAAGGCAGTAGACTAGAAAGGAAGGGAAGGAATCACAAAATATGAAAAGGAGCTAGGTGTGGTGACTTATCTATGCCTGTAATCCCAGCATTCAAGAGGCTGAAGCAGGAGAATTGGAGGCCAGCTTGGGCTACATAGAGAGACACTGTTTTGTTGTTGTTGTTGTCTTTTTTGAGACGGGGTCTCACTATGCAGTTCAGGCTGGCCTGGAGCTCACTTTGTAGCCCAGGCTGGTCTCAAACTCACAACAATCCTCCCACCTCAGCCTCGAAAGTGCTGGGATTACAGGCATGAGCCACCACGCCCGGCTCGACACTGTTTTAAAAAACAAAAAAAAAAAAAAAAAAAAGGAGGAGGAATTGGGCCTGGTACAAACACCTATAGCCCAGCTACCTGAGAAGCTGAAGCACAGGGATGACCTGAGTCCAAGACTTGAAGACCAGCCTGGGTAACACAGTGAGATTCCATCTGAAAACAAAATCAACAAAAATATATGAGAAGTAGAACCTATCGAATTTAGGTGTTTATTGAATATGGAGCGAATATAAAGATCAAAGGGAGGGGAAGCTAATGCTGACTCCCCAGATTCTTGATTTGGGCAGCTAGGTGGAGATGAACAACATAACTGAGTGGGATAAGAGAACACTGAAGGAGGACACAGGTCTAGAATGAAAAAGATGAACCCAACATTTTATGTGTATATAGAGACCAGGAATAAGGACTGACCTTCAAATATAGATTTGCTACTATCAGAAGCTGAAACCAAGGCTGGGTACAGTGGTGCACATCTATAGTCTCAGCACTCAAGAGGTTGAAGCAGGATTGCTGTGAGTTCAAGGCCAGCTCTGTATAGCAAAATGCTGTTTCAAAAAACAAACAAACAAGGGCACCTATTTGGGACCGCTCCTGTCTCTCAGGAGCTATACCTATTGCACATTCTCCCATTTCCCTTTCCCTTTTGTAAGAATTTTCCTATTCTTACAAAAAAAAATACATATATGAAAGTATTTTTACTAATTTATTAAATTGGCTGGAGGTGTACTTCAGTGGTGAAATGTATGCTTAGCATGGATTTAATCCCTAGATTTTGGCTTTAATCTCCAGTACTAAGAAAAATAAAAATAGCCAATCATGGTGGAGTATGCCTTAATCCCAACTGTTTAGGAGGTTGAGTCAGGAGGACTGCAAGTTAAAGGCTAGTCTGGGCAAATTAAGAAGACCCTGTCTCAAAACTAAGAATTATTTATTTATTTATTTATTTTATATAAAAACTAAGAATTTTTTAAAGGATGAGAATATAGTTTAGTGGTAAAAACACTCCTCCAGTATCAAAAATAGATAAATAAATAAACACACAAACCATGATTTTATTGTTGCTGTTGGATTTATTTTTCCTTTTGGTACCAGGAATTAAACTCAGGACCTCACACTTGCCAAGCAGGTGCTGTGCCACTGAGCTATATCCCTGGCCCCAAACCATCTTTTAAAGGAATATTTAATGGCATTTAAAATGGTTATGATAAAATAGCAAGTGAGAAAAGAAAGATACAGAGTAATAACTATCAGGCCTGGGGATTTAGCTCAGTGACATAAGCAGCTATGTGGCAAGTGCGAGGTTGCAAGTTCGATTCCCAGTACTAAAAACAAAAGTAATAACTATCATATGATTACAATATTTCATCCCATGCTGGGATGAAACCCAGGCTCTTGATCACACTAGCCAAGTGCTCTACCACTAGCTATACCCCAGCTCTAAAGATATAGATAGATAGATAGATAGATAGATAGATAGATAGATAGATAGATGTTTCTCACTGAAAAAATGGCCTTTTTCGGTGTTTTAAGATATTTTTTAAAAATTTTATGGAAAGGGCTGGGGATTTAGCTCAGCGGCATAAGCACCTGCCTTGCAAGCAGGCGATCATGAGTTCGATCCCTGGTACCTATAAAAGTAAAAATTTTATGGAAAAAAGGTAAAACAAAATAATAGAATAACAATAGTTAATACATTGCATGTTGTTATCTTTAAAGTAGTTGCTCAGAGTATAATATATGAGCATAAAAATTTCTCCAAAAATTGATTGGAGCAATTTTTGGTGTTTCTGAGACAGGGTTTTGCTATGTAGTCCAGGCTGGCTTTGAATTTGTGGCATGCACCATCATGCCTGGCAAAAAGTGACTTTAAATATCAGTTGTGATAGTGCATGCCTGTAATCCCAGAACTCTGATGCAGGAGAATCCAAGAGGATCTCCAGTTCAAGCCCAGCCCAGGCAAGTTAGGGACTTTGCAAGAACCCCATCAAAATAAAAAGCACTGGGAGTATATAGCTCAATATAAAGGCCTTGGTTTCAATCTTCAGAACCTCAAAGAAAAAAAAAAGACTAAAATTTTCCACCTGTTAGTAATGGTTATCTCTGGAGTGTTGTTAAAGACGTTTTTTATTTTCATTCCAGCTTTTCTATAAAGGCCAGGGATGGTGGTACATACATGTGTTCCCAACACTTAGGAGGCTGAGGCAAGATAACCACAGGTTCAAGGCCAATCTGGGCTTCATAGTGAGTTCAAGGGCAGTCTGAACTACATAGTGAGACCCTGTCTCAAAAAAACAAAGAGAGGGGCTGAGGTTTTAGCTCAGCAGGCATAAGCACCTGCCTTGCAAGTGTGCAGTCTTCAATTCGATCCCCGGTACCAAAAAAAAAAAAAAAAAAAAAAAAAAAAACAAAGGGAGGAAAAATGGCTACAAAGATCCATACTTGTAGTCAAACCTTTTCAGGAACCTGAAGCAGGAGATCATTAGAACCCAGGAATTCCAGACTTGTGTGGGCAACATAATGAAAATCCCACCTTGAGAAGTTATTTTAAAAAAGAAAAAAAGAAGCATCCTTAAAAAAAAACAAACAAACTTGGTGAAGAAGGTAAAAGAAGCCAGTGCAGCATGCCTGTAATCCCAGCTCCTTAGGATATTGAAACAGGAGGATTGCAAATTCAAGGCCAGTGTAGAACAATAGTGAGATTAGGTCTCAAAATAAATAAATAAATAAAATGTCTAAGCCCCCAAAACACCACCATAAGACTTCTAGATTTAATAACCAAATTCAGTCCCATAGCTGGATACAAAATCAACACTCAAAAATCAATAATATTCCTGTACACAGATAAACTCTGACAGAAATTACAAAAAAAACACCTTTCCCAATAACATCCCCCAAAATGAAATATGTAAGAATCAATCTAACAAAGAAAGTAAAAGACCTCTACATTGAAAACTACAGTACCTTTAAAAAGGAGATTGAAGAGGATATTAGAAAAAGGAAAGATTATCCCAGGCTCTCAGGTAGCAAGAAGCAACATAGTAAAAATGGCCATACTACCAAAATTGTTATACAATTGCAATCCTGATCAAAATTCCAATAGCATATCTTAAAGAATTAGAGAAAACAACCCTAAAGTTCATTTGGACCAAAAGAGACCTAGAATAGAAAGACAAATCTGAGCAACAAAGGCAAGTCACAGAGGGCATCACAATCCCTGACTCAAAATTATAAAGCTACTGTGATAAAAACAGCATAGTACTGAGAAAAAATAGACCTGAAGATCAACAGAACAGATTAGAAGATGCAGAAACAACTCCAGATACACTCAGCTACCTCATCCTTGACAAAGGAGCCAAAAACACTTTCACTGGAAGAAAGATAACCTCTTTAATAAATGGTGCTGGGAAAACTGACTTTGCACATGTAGAACACTAAAACTAGACCCATCTCTCTCACCATGCACTAAACTAAAATCAAAATGGGTCAAAGATCTAATATTAAAACAGAAACACTAAATCTGCTGGAAGATAGAATAGGTAGAACTCTTGAAAACATTGGTGTAGACAAAGACTTTTATGAACAAGACCCCAGTAACACAAGAACTAGCACAAAGAATCAACAACTGGGATCTCATCCTATTAAAAAGCTTTTGCAGAGCAAGAGAAACCACCAATAGAGTGAAGAGAGAGCATATAGTATGGAGAAAGAAATTGGCCAGTTATTCCTCAGACAAAGGACCAACATTTATTTTTTTATTTTTATTTATTTATTTATTTATTTTTTTTGTCTTTTTCATTTTTATCGGTACTAGGGATCGAACTCACGACTGCCTGCTTACAAGGCAGGCGCTTATGCCGCTGAGCTAAATCCCCAGCCCAGACCAACATTTAGAATATATAAAGAACTAAAAAAAAAACAGATCCCCCCCAATTTAAAGATCTAATCCAAAAATGGGCATTTGAAATGAATAGACACTTCTCAGATGAAGAAGTAGGAATGGAAAATAAATATATGAAAAAAGTTCAACATCATTGGTCACTTGAGAGATGCAAATTAAAACAACACTAAGATTCCATCTCTTCCCAGCAAGAATGGCTATTATCAAGAAGTCAATCAATAACAAATGCTGGCAGGGCAGTGGGGAAGAAGGAGCACTTCTCCACTGTTAGTGGAAATATAGATTGGTACAACTACTGTGGAAATCAGTGTGGAGATTCCACAGAAAACTAAAACTAGAGGTTCCATTCGACCCAGCTATTTCCCTTCCTGGTATCTTCACAAAAGAATTTAAAGCATCATACAACAGTGATATATGCATACCCATGTTTATAGCAGCACAGTTTGTAATAGTCAAATCTTCGAAACACTCCAAATGCCCATCAACTGATGAATGGATAATGAATATATGGGTTTTTAAAAAAATACAATGAAGTACTACTCAGCTATAAATAAGGGTAAACTTGAGACATTTCTAGGTAAATGTATGCACCTTGGACCATACTGTTAAGTGAAATAAATCGAACACACATGTGTAAATATCACATTGTTCCCCTGGTATGAGAAATCGAAAGTGTAAATAAAGACCAAAATGTATAATAGGTATTGTGAAATACTTAGAAAATGTTCCAATGAGACGAGAACTAGGGAGAGGGGAAGGAGAAAAGAAAGAATGGAAAAGAAAAATAACATGAAAAGAAACAATGGAAACAAAGCTTTTGTAAATAGGGAAAGGAAGATGGGTTGAAGGGAGGGGAGGGGAATGTGTAAAAAGGAATTAAGTTATATCATGTACAGGTACAAATTCCCTATAATGAATGTGATCATTTTTTATACCTAAAATATACCAATAAACTTAATTTTAAAAAAATAAAATAAAATGTCTGGGGAAGTAATTCAGTGGTAGAGTGCTTGCTTCCAGGAAAAGCAAAAAGAAAAGAAAGAAAAAAAGAAATGGCTTGTCCAGGCTCAGAGATAAACTTGCTGCTATTAAAACTGAACAAAAAGCCGGGCATGGTGGATCACGCCTGTAATCCCAGCACTCGGGAGGCTGCGGCAGGAGGATCGTAGCGAGTTCGAGACCAGCCTCGGCTATAAAGTGAGCTCAAGGTCAGCCTGAACTGCACAACAAGACCCTGTCTCAAAAAGACCAAAAAAAAAAAAAAAAAAAAAAAAAAAAAAAAGAACAAAAGAAGCGCCTACAGCATGGGCAGGAGGAAAACCAGAACACCTGAGATCTGGCCATGGTGGGACTCAGGCAGCTTATTCACCTGCCCTCTTGGTAAGCTCTTGCGGCATGGGCCAGGAGGAGAACCAAAGGTCCTGAGATCTGGCCATGGTGGGACTCGAGCAGCTTCTTCTTCTGCCCTCTTGATAAGCACCCGCGGCGTGGGCTAGGAAGAAAAGCATTACCTGTGAGCCTACTGCCACGAGGGCTAAAATTAAGCACCCTTCCCTCTCCCGCCCCCCCCCCCATAGCTACTGGGGATAGATGTCTCAGCATCTCTTGGGAGGATGACCACATGCAGTATAGCAAATATGGGGGATTTCCTTCTATCTTCTGTTTGAGGGCAAAGGCTGTTTTCACTGTTTTGTTTTGTTTTGTTTCTTTTGCTCTATTCAGTACTCTCAATTGGTTTTATAATGTTCTATTTTTGGTTTGATTTTGCTATACCTAATTGACTGGACAACCATTGTGAAGTCAAGGAGATATACCATAGTACCTGTTACTACTATCTCAGTATCCTACTGTGAAATCCTATACCAATTTCACTGCATTGTCTTGATTGGCTTTGTTCTGTCTTGTGCTGCTGCATTTTTACTACCTTCAAAATAAAATTTAAAAAAAATAAAAAAACTGAACAAAATATTCCAATGAGACATATGCAGCTGCATTATTGAAAGTGTGAGCTCATTCTCGGAAAAAACCTCCTCTGAAAGCTTGTGATGGACAAGTAGTTATGGAAGTGTTCGTGATTCGTGAGATAACAGTGAGGGCATCCCTATGCATGCATGTAGCTCAGTTCCCCGGATAATCTTTATTTTTCTAGGAATAAGCCAAACCTTAGTTGCATTTTATGGCTGAACCAGCCACAACACTGTGAGATGAAATGTCAGCAAAGAGCACTTTTTATGTTTATTGTAAAATGCTACCTCAGATTCAGAAATCAATAACTGCTTGACATTCTGAAAAGCACCCTCATGCTAGCAAATCCAAAGCTGCTGGACATCCATTTCCTTGGAGATAGTGAAGTAACTCAATTACCTGTTGTTTGTTATTTTTGAGAAAGGGCTTCACTATGTAGTCCAGAGTGGTCCTCCTGCCTCAGGCTTCTGAGTGCTGAGTTTATAGATGTGCACCACCACACTCAGTTGTAGTTTGAGTATCCTTCCTTTTGTAGGAGTTAAACAACCAAAATGGAGGCCTCTCAGGAGAGTCTGAAGTCCTTGCTTTATATCTGCATCAGGGGGCTCATGGATTGTGGAGTCCTTATTCAGGGTAAGCAGAGGTAGGAGGATCCAAGGGGCATACATCTAGAAGATGATCTCATCTGAGGAGGCCCCAAGGGCAGCAACTGTAGTGAAGAAACAATCTTCAAGCAGAAGAAAAGGCAAAAATGGAAATACGGTAAAAAGAAGAAGAAGAAGAAGCCCTTGGCTGGGAGGCGGTGGACTAACCTGTTTAGATATGAGGAACAGACTGCGTTGGCTAGAGGATGTAAAGGGTGAAGATCTATTAGGATGTAAAGGACAATCATCTATTCTTTATGATGGTCCAAGCCTATATCAGGGACCAATAGGACAGTTTAGACAAGGAGAGGAGGAGGCAGGTTCTGTGGTGCATGCCTGGAATCTCAACTCCTCAGGAGGCTGAAGCAGGATAATCACTAATTTCAGTATAGCCTGGACAACACAGAGAGATGGTGTATCAAAATACTAAAATAAAACAAAAAGTGCTGAGGGTGTAGCTCAGTGGTGAAACACCTCTGAGCTCAATCTCTAGTACTGCAGAAAAAAGGGAAAATTGGTAGATACTCTCTCCCCCTTCTCTACCCAGCCCAGTGTACAGGGCTGGGGCTAGAGCAGAGTTGGTTATATAGAAGGCATCAAGCACTGGGGATTGTCATCAGCTCAAGCTCTTAAGGGTGCCTCTCTGGCCCAGTTTTCTTCTTGGACCTAATGTTCAAATCTACTTTGGAACAGTCTAGGAGTAGCTGTAGCATGTGCTCTGAGTTCTCCCTGACAGGGTGAATGGATATGCATGGCTAAGGACTGGGGACTTCAAGAAGAAGACAATGGAGTTAATGATTTCAGAGAGCTGAACAGGCCTAAGCACCAGTCCTCATGTTTGCAGCAAGGTTGGCTGGGGCCAGTGTGATGGGGGTGCAAAGCACCCAGTTTCTACCCCTCGCATAAGTAGAAGCCTTGGCTCTCAGAGGATCAGCAGTCCAGCTCTCTCTTAGGTGTTGATCTGGTAGCATTGGGTGGTTTTGTGGAATGATTGAGGGTAGTGTTTGCAATTACTAAGGTAAAGGGAGTCTGGATGGGGCATTCATGGTGTTATTGCTGGCAAACGACAGAGAGCACAGAGGGGTCCAAAGATTCTTTTTTTTGGGGGGGTCTTTTTCTTTTTTATCGGTACCAGGGATCAAACCCACGACTGCCTGCTTGCAAGGCAGGCACTTATGCCGCTGAGCTAAATCCCCAGCCCCGCCAGTAGATTTCTATTTGGATGACCTGGAAAAGGATCCTAGTGACAAAATAATAAGATTGCAATGATGGATGTGTATGTAAAGAAAGAAAACAGGAAAGAAATACAATTAACTATTAACAACTTAATAGACAAGATGTCAGCTTCTTAGGTTGGCTGACCAAACCTGGAGTATTAGCACTGCAAGCTAAATTCTGCTGTGGCATTTTTCCTCACCCTTCAAGCTTGACACTTGGCCCCATTCTCTGGCTCTGACTTGCATTCCTCTCATTCTCATCCATACCTCACTATCTGTAATTCTCGCAGATAAAAATCAAGCACTGGATACACTGGGAGCTTTCCCAGGTTGTCTGACCTTGTCTTAGCATCGTGACATCCCTAAGGGCAGACATAGCAGGAGTGTATGCTAGGCCATAAGGGCCAAACACAAGCAACATTAGGCCATGATTTCTCGTTTCACTTCATTTACCTACCTGATCTGGCGAAAGGATGTGGGATTTTCTGAAATCTTTTGCCACAGCAGTCTCTGCTGTTCTCATGATAAGACATCAGTGGAATCTAGAATCATTCTTCAGCTCCCAGGAATTAGGCTGTTTATAAAACACAAGAACAGAGACAAAATAAATTCCAATTCAGAGGGAGTAGACAGGATGTCGCTTAAGGCTCTCATTCCTGGTAAATGTATCATACCAAAGGAGTACCACCTTACTTTTATGCTTTACTACTAGCTAAATGAATGGACCATCTTGACTATGTGGGATTGATTTTAGGATATTGGAGGGGGCATTGAGGGGAGCTGAAACAACTTTGCTTTTGTTCCCAGCTTATATCAGTCAGCTTTTGTCACTGTAACAAAATACCTTAACAACTTAAAGGAGGAAACATTTATTTATTTATTTTGTCTTTTTGAGACAGGGTCTCACTATGCAGTTCAGTCTGGCATTGGGCTTACTTCGTAGCCCAGGCTGGTCTCGAACTTGCAATGATCTGCCTACCTCAACCTCCAGAGTGCTGGGATTACAGGAGTGCGCCACCACACCTGGCTTATTTATTTTTATTTTTTGAGACACAGTCTCACTATGTAGCTTAGGCTGGCATTGAACTCTCAGTCATCCTCCTGTCTCAGCCTCCTGAGTGCCATGATTATAAGTGTGTAGCACCATGCCCAGCTAGGAAAGGTTTCTTTTGGCTCAGAGATTTCAGTTCGTGGTTGGTTGTCTCCAATGTTTTGGGACCTGTAGCAAAGTAGCAGCATATCAACAGGTTACAGAGGATAGAGAGGACACATCAGCAAACCACATGCCTGCCATTTCTCCAACCCGCACCTCAAACCCCACCAAATAAAAAAAAGCTTCTCGCCTGTAAGGGACAAGTTCTGTGTTCTGCTCACACAGAGATCCCTCTCAGGTTTAGCAATAAACCCACTTAGATTGTTGAGTTCCCACCCCACTCCCCCTCCTCCAACACAGATGAGCAACCAAGTCTTCAACATGTGGCTTTTGGGAACATTTCAGATTCAAACCATAGCACTGCTCCAAGCTATCATTAGAGCAAAAGGTCTGTGCTTAACTATTAAGTGAATTGAGCCAGGCGTGGTGGCTCATGCCTGTAATCCCAGTATTTGGGAGGCTGAAGCAGGAGGATATTTGGGAGTCTGAGACCAACCTGAACTACAAAGTGAGCTCAAGGCCAGCCTGAACTGCATAGAGAGACCCTGTCTCAAAAAGACAAAAAAAAGGGGCTGGGGATTTAGCTCAGTGGCATAAGCACCTGCATTGCAAGCAGGCGGTCGTGAGTTCGATCCCTGGTACCGATAAAAAGAAAAAAACAGAAAAACTGTTCAGTGAATTGGTGTATTCTCGCTTGAATGTGCTACAGTTTGGATCTGGAATAACCCCCAGAGGCCCACATATGGAAGTTTTGGTCCTCAGCCTGTGGTACTGTTGAGCAATGATGGAACCTTTAGGAGGTGAGTTCTAGAGGAAAAAAATTAGGTCACCAGGGGTGCGGAGGTGGGGGCAGGGCATGACCCTAAAGAAGATATTGGGACCCAGCCCCTTATTTGTCTCTTTCACTTCCTAGTGGCCATGAGATAAACAGTTTTGCTGGACCATGTGCTCCGCACCATGATACGACCTCACTGCAGGCCCCAAAGCACCAGGCCAACCAACAATCATGCACTGCAACCTCTGAGACTATGAGCCAAAATAAGCCTTTCCTATCTATATACTTTCTTATGCTTCTTTTCTTCACGTGCAAATCCCATAAATATACTGTAAGTTCATCAGTTAGCTTAGTTGATAAGGCAAAAGGGCAGACACCTAATTTTAAGAAATATAGTAGACTGGGCCCCTGCATTCTGTAAAATGGGTCATCCTTCCATTTGTAAAATAAGCCATTATCTTTTTATCGTGGGCAGGCTGTCACTTTTTTCCTGTAGTAAATCAAGCAAACTCTTCTCTTTTTTGAGTCAGAGTTTCACTTGTAGTCCAGGCTGGCTCAAACTCACAGTAATCCTCCTGCCTCAGGCTCCTGAGTGCTGGGGTTTATAGGCATGTGCCACCACACTCAGCATGCAAACTTGTTATGGATTCACAATTTCCAGTTTCCCACCACCAAAAATACATAAATATTCCCAACTCCAGACTACCATGCACTTCTCTCTGAAGGGCCTGAACTCTGTTTGAGTGTGTGCTTTTAAAGTTCTGCCTAATAAATCCCTTTATGCCTCTTAAATAATAAATAACCCAGTCTTCACCATAGGTTGATTATCTCAAGTATTTTGTTACAGTAATAGAAAACTGTGTAACACACAGTTCTCCAGAAATCTCCTTGAAAAAAATAATGATAATTATTTCCTGTTGGCCTTTCCTAAGAATATGAATTCCAGGGCCAGATATGGTGGTACATGCCTGTAATCCCAGCACTCAGGAGGCTGAGGTAGGAGGATTGCTGTGAGTTTGAGGCCAACCTGGACTACACAGTGACATCTGTCTCAAAAACAAACAAAAAATGTGAATTCCAGGAACAAATATTCATTCATATAATTATGTGGCCTTTTTGAAAAGGACTTGTGAAAAATAGCAATTATGAACATATGACCACTTCTAGCCTTCCCTTGCAGCCCTGAGAGCAGTTTGCATAACCTTCTACAGCCTGAGCAGAGAAGGGGACCTGTGAAATGCTCTGCAGATTTCCCCAATTAGCCATTTCCTTAATCCTGTTGGCCCTTTTGAAAGAGTTTTTGCCTGGGTGTCATAAGCAATATTTACACTGGAAGCTGTCCCCTTTGATTTCTAAGTCATAAGGCAATGGTGTCTTATTGATGAAAGCTGTCCAAACTGCCACATTTTGTTTGGTAATGAGGCCCAGGGATAGGCTGAGTGGAAGAAGCCACATGTGAGGCAGGGCTGCTGCCTGTCATCCGAGGAAGCTGCAAGACTGCTGTTGCCACAGCAGGGCTGCTGGCATTGCTCCCACGATGTGATGAGCAGAGTTCTCTCATCAGGCTGCGATTCAGTTTATGAAGTCCAAAGCTCTAAACTACGATGATGTTGCAAGAAAATGAGTTCCTAAGTAATGTGGCTAGTTTCCTCCACCCACTATCCTGGTCTTGGGTGGAACAGAAAAAGGAAAGCTCTGTTTAAACTGATGTTTGAGCTATTCCTTCCAGTCACAGCAGGCTGATTAAACTTAGGGTGTCTTATCTTGGACACCTCAAGATCTAATGAAGATCTTGAGTGAATTCCAGGAAATAAAAAGGCTAATAATATAAAATGTTAAAATATTCTCTCAAAACATTCACTGTAAGAAGAAAGTCTGTTTAGGAGTCAAGGTAACAACTGCAATCTGCTGCTTATCAGGAGCAAATGGACTGACATCAGTTACTTGCTCTCCTCTTTTCCTCTCCATTTTTCACCCCTCCCTTCCCTTTTCTCCCCTAGCTTTTTCCTCTTTCTAACAGCAGCACCCCAGCCAGATGTGCTCAAGTAGCAGTAAACAACCAATAGACAAGTTGATTCTAGTAACAGTACCTTTTATACAGCTACAAAACACTCAAATAGACTTTATGTGGCCTGGAACCTCAGAAAATCCTGCCAGAACTTCTGGGAACACACTGCTGTTGACCTGTCATTTCATTCCAAGGAGCTGTGCTGCAGGAGCTCTCTTCTGGTCAAACAGGTCTGCCCACCATTCCCTAAACACATCACAGCTTCTCATCATCTGGAATGTCTGGCCCTGCTGTCATCTTTATGACCCAAGTCCAACTCTGCTTTTTCCATGAAGCCTGCCCCCCACCCCACGGCTGAATTCCTCCCAGCAACTCCTATCTGCCCATGGCATTTGAGAGCTACACCCGCACAGTAAGTCAGGTGTGTCTCGTCTCTCTTAGAACCTTCTGGGACTAGGGACCCCTTCTTATTCACAGTCTCAATCAATGTGCAGGGCTTGTCAGCCATATGGAATGGTAAAGCAAACAAATTCTGGAGCCAGGCTGCCAAACTGTATCACTTACTACTCAGTTATGTCACTTAAACTACATATTCCTTAATTCCTCCAGAAGGTGGAAATTTTTTTACCCATTATAGTTTTTTTCTAATTTAATTGTATTGGTACAGTTTAGATATATATAATGATCACATTCATCATAGGGAATTTGTACCTGTACATGATATATCTTACTTTTTCTTTCTTTCCCATTCCTCTCCCTTCAACCCCTCTTTCCCTCCTTATTTACAAAAGTTTTGCTTCCATTTTTCCTTCTTTTCTCATTTTTTTTCTTGTCCCTTCCTTCCTTTTTCCCTCCCTCCTCCCTAGCTCCTCTTCTCACTGGAACATTTTCTTCCAATTTCCCAATATCTATTATACGTTTTGGTCCTTATTTGCCCTTTTGATTTCCCATACCAGAGAAACAATGTGGTATTTACACATGTATGTTCAATTTATTTTACTTAAGGGTGCATCCATTTTCCCAGAAATGTCTCAAAACTACCTTCTTTATGGCTGAGTAGTACTCCATTGCATTAAAAAAAAACTTCTTTATCCATTAATTCGTTGACGGACATTTGGGCTGTTTCCAAGATTTAGCTTTTATAGACTATACTGCTATAAACATGGGTATGCATATATCACTGTGGGATGATGTTTTAAATTCTTTTTTTTTTTTTTTTGTCTTTTTCCTTTTTATCAGTACTGGGGATCAAACTCATGACTGCCTGCTTGCAAGGCAGGTGCTTATGCCACTGAGCTAAATCCCCAGCCCCAATGTTTTAAATTCTTTTGTGAAGATACCAAGAAGGTGAATAGCTGGGTCAAATGGTACCTCTAGTTTTAGTTTGTTTTATTTTTTTTTTTATCGGTACTGGGGATCAAACTCATGACCACTCACTTGCAAGACAGGCACTTATACCACTGAGCTAAATCCCCAGCCCCTAGTTTTAGTTTTTTTGAGGAATCTCCACACTGATTTCCACAGTGCATCAGTCTACACTCTCACCAGCAGTGGAAAAGGGTTTCTTTTTCCCCACTGCCCTGCCAGCATTTGTTTTTGGTTGATTTCTTGATGATAGCCATTCTTTCTGTAGTGAGATACAATCTCAGCATTATTTTAATTTTTACCTCTTGAATGCCCAGTGATGCTGAACGTTTTTTCATATATTTATTTGCCATTTCTAAGAAGGTAGGAATATTAACAATGCCTACATCATTAGGTTGTTTTTTCAAATCCGTTTTTTTTTTTTTTTTTGAAGAGGAAAACAAATTTCAAAACATCAATCTGGGGGCATCAGTGATATATATATATATATATATATATATATATATATATTGCACATTGTCATCCCCAAATCATTCAGTCAGAGCACAAGACATCTGCATTCTGTTGTCCAAAAATACCAGCACAAACCTTTCTATTCAATGAACTCAGAGAAATCAGTAGTATAACTATCTTAACTCTTTTTATATACATATACATATACATATGTTGTTTCTTCAGCTTCACACACTAGTGAGATACTATGATGTTTACACGTGTTTATAATTTATCTTACTAATGAATACAGTCCTGAGTTGCATCCATTTACCTATAACAGTCTCCAGTTTATCCTTCTTTATGGATGAGTAGTGCTCCATTGTATAAATACTACATCTTTTTTATCCATTCCTCAGTGAATGGGCATTTAGGTTGTTTCCAAGATCTGACTATTACAAGTTGTGCTGCTATAAAGATGGGTGCACAAATATCACTGTGGTATGATGTTTTTAATTATTTTGAGAAGATACCCAGAAGGGGAGTAGCTGGGTTGATCCATTAGGTTTTCTTGAGGCTCAGAATTATACTCAAAAAGCACTTTGAGAGCTGGACATGGTACTACACACCTGTAATACCATCACTCAGGAGGCTGAGACAGGAAGATTGCTGTGAGTTCTGAGACAGCCTAAACTACACTGAGTTTAAGGCCAGACTTAACTGTGTAATGAGACTTTATCTTAAAAAAAGTGCTTTGACCATTGCCTTTCATGCATTAAGTACGTAAGAAATGCTAGTCCTCTTCAACTATTCCAACCTATACTCAGCAAGAATTTCCAAGTGCCCAAGAATGACTTTAAGCTTGGTCTCCCCCACCCAGTGGGGGAGACCAAATTTAGCAGGCACTTACTGAAGGAATTCCCTATTTGACTTTGAATGTCCTCTATAATCTGAGCCCCTTTGTTGACCCCGATACATAATTTCTTTCTCTCTCCCCTTTTCTTTCTCTGCACTCCCTTGGCAAAGTCAGGACCATGTAATTGAATACGTACCACCATTTCTTGTGTCTTGGTCTTATCTCCTCAGGAAGTTAATAAATTCCTTTTGTTTCTTAAATTTTGTGCTGGGGATGAGACCCAAAGCTAGGCAAGTGCTCTCCCACTGATCCCCAACCCTAGCCTGATACATTCCTTAAGAACAGTTGGAAATCTGGCAAGGTGGCCCACACTTGTAGTCCCAGCTCAGAGGCTGAGGCAAGAGGATCTTGTGTTCAAGTTCCACTTGGGTGACACAGTGAGATTTTGTCTCAAAATAATAAATAAAGCCAGGAGTGGTGGTGCAAGCCTGTAATCTCAGCACTCAGGTGGCTGAAGCATGAGGATTGCTATGAGCTTGAGGCCAGCCTGGGCTACATAGTAGATTCATGATCAGCCTGAACTACACAGTGAGACCCTGTCTCAAAAAATCAAAAACAAACAAATAAATAAATATATGAGAGCTAGAGATATTACTCTGTGGTAGAATGCCCCTGAGGAGGATCTCCACCTCTGCAGAGCAAACAAAAATAGGATTTTACCCCTTCTTCTCCCCTTGACTCCACCCAGCAGGTAGTCCCTCTTTTCTGGGTTCCTAGTAGGTGTCCAGGAAAAACATATCAACTGACATCTCCAGGTGCCCAGGGTTAGCGGAGGGAAGCTGAGACCCTGACTTTCTGGTTCTGAGCTCAAACTGGGTTGAAAAGCAGAAAGCAGGGGGCCAGTTTCTATTGACCTGCACTACTTACTTCTTAGCTCAAATTGTAAAATGAATAGGGTCTTGGAGAAGTTCTCAGTTGTAGAGACCTTAAAACTAGAGTGATTGGGGCTGGGGATTTAGCTCAGTGGCATAAACGCCTGCCTTGCAAGCAGGCAGTCGTGGGTTCGATCCCTGGTACCGATAAAAAAGGAAAAAGACAAAAAAAAAAAAAAAACTAGACTGATTAATGGCTGTTATCCCATTTACCTAAATGATTACGAGGATTTGTTGTTTATAATCAATACAGCAACCACCTTGCCCTTGCCCCTGAGGATAGGAGATCATTTCTAAGTAAGTTTTAGGGTTCTGAGATGTGATTGGAAATACTTTGGTCTGTCCCCAGCCACTCAGTGCACAAATAATAAGTACCTGGCCAGAAGTGGTGGTGCAAGACCCCCCCCCCATCCTGTTATATGGGTGGGAAGAACTGCCATCCCCACCTTGAATGCAGCTCCATCATCTATGGCTTTTCCTTCCCCATTGTCACAGTTTTAGAGGCTGAGAACTGGAAGGGAGGGCACCCAGAGCAGAAGCCCCCCTCCCCGACAGAGCAGGGGTAGCCTAGGTCCAGTTCTGTTTCCCAGACAGGCCAAAAATGAACCTTGTGAGCAACAGCGATGCTTCTTTTCCTCTGGAACTGGGTGGTAACTCCAGACTATGTGATCTGGGGCCCCAAACCCATTGGGAACTCAAGCAGATCAATCTTGTTTAATCATTGTGTGTTGGAGGAGGTGGGGCTGGTTAATGTTTGTCTGGTTCCTCTTGGGCTGTGGGCCATTTCTAGCTCAGGCCCTGCACCCATTGTCCCTCCCCTGGGCTGGGCTGACAGGACTTAGTGGCATAAGGCACACACACCTTACAGTCTCTGGAAACGGGTGGCGGTGGCGGCAGCCAGGTGTGGCAGTGTTGGAGAGGTGAGGACTGGGGACTGGTGGCTGGGGGGTGGGCTGGGGAGAGCTGATGTGGCATGGAGCCAAGGGAAGGCAGAACTTGGTGATAGGGAAAGACCAGGATCTGGGCCTTCTCTTGATCTCAGGATTCAGCCACTTGGATCCCTTGCATGCTTCCCTCTGAACAGGGCTGAGGTTGCTTCTGCCAGCTGCCAGGATTACTTAGCTTCTTTCTGCAGCCTCCAACCCTTACCCTCTTTCTAGGCTCCACGTTGCTTCTCCTCACTCCTTTTTTCTTTCTATCTTTCTTTCTTGTTTTGTTTTTTGAAACAGGACCTCACTATGCAGCCCAGGCTGGCCTTGAACTCATAGTGATTCTCCTGCCTCAGCCTCCCAAGTGCTGGGATTACAGATATGTGCTACCACGCCTGGTGTACTCATTTTTTTCTAAACCAGATTTTCTGAATCCTCACAGGGGTCTCCCTTGACACAAGGTAGCCAAATTCATCTGTCTGAGACACTTTTGCCACACAGGGTTAGGGTTCAGTGAGACCACTGAGTAATACCAGCTGCTGTTTTCCTTCTCTGATTACAAGGTAAACCGGGCATGCACACAACATGGGCTACAAGGGGTTAAATAATATAGTGCACTTGATGGGCTACAGAAAGGCCATCAATAGGGCTGAAGACATAGTCATGTACATTTTCATTTTCTTGAAGGAGGCAGGCAGAGTGTAGCTAAGCTTGGGGTGACCAGAAGTTTGGAGATTTAAAGGAGGGGTGCCACCCAGCTGTCTGAAACTCGTTCCAGCTATTGGGACTGGCACAGCAGAATGCATGGACTTAGAAAATGAAATAAAAAGAGAGAACATAAACAAGTGGAGTTTCAATGGACAGAAATATAGATGAAAATGTAGCATAGCAATGGGGAAGGGACTTGGGCTTGGGTGAGGAGTCGGTATGACTCCCAGTCTGAGTTCCAGCACTTATTTACCAACTGGGTGATAAGTTACTCTACTTCTCATTACCTTGTCTGTGAACTGAAGACAACAGCTCATGATCCACAGAGTTGTTTTAGGATGAGAGCTCATAAACATTCAGTAGACATTGCATAAATGGTGGCTGTTACCATAAGTTCAAGTTGAGAGCTGCAGGAAGTCAGGTGGGTGATGAAGCCATGGATAGGGAAAGGTCAGTGTTAAAAGAGCTGCCATTAGCAGAAATTTTTTGAAAAGACAACAGCATGGCTTCTTGAACTTTTGGCTAAGGTCAAGTGAAAAGACCCCTGCCAGGAAACAGAAAGAGAAAAGTGGATGAACTAAGCTGGATGTGATCAAGGCCGTTCACAGCATATGTATGCTGAGGAGGAAACATTATGTCCCATGACTAAAATACGGTAGACTCCCAAAGTGGAGGCTGGGAAGGTAAGCAGGGAAAAGGAACTAGAGGCCTTAACCATGCCAAACTGATGAATGAAGGAAGCCAGAAATTCAGAGGGAGATCTCAAAGCAGACCACATGGCCATAGGCTGCCTGGGAAATGGAAGAATGTGAGTCTTTGCCCAGCTGGGCCTCTCTGCCCTAACCTCCAACCCCCAACACAAGGATTGTTCTATAGTTGGAAGGAAGAATAGGGCAGAAGTGAGAATAGGACAGAAAGAAACAGACTCAATGAAAGCACTCTGCGTGTGTGGGGGTGTGCACACATGCACATTCATATGCCAGCCCACACAGGAACGAGTATAGGTGTTTTATTTTGTACTGGAAATTGAACTTAAGACCTTGTGCTTGAAAGGGAGGTGCTGTGCCACTGAGCTATATCCTCGGACAGAGTATAGATATTTTAGTTATGGGCTTGATCTCAAATTAGAATGTAAGGGTCCAGAGATATAGCTCAGCAGCACAGCACCTGCCCTGCACGCAAGGTCCTGAGTTCTATTTCTGGTATCAAAAAGAAATCAACTTAGAATGTAGTTTCCTTTAAAACAAAAAGGAGCCCCCAAAAGTAGTGCTATGTATACTGCTTTTGAGATTAGAGTAACATAACTGAATTTTACCAGTGCAGTTATCATTGAGGCAAGTTACCTAATCTCACTGAGCCACAACTTCCTGGCCTGAAAAGTGATAGTAATATAATAGAACTGTTGGAAGGACTAAGGACAATCTCTTAATTTTGTACTGTGCTTGAGTACTGGGCCAGATCAGAAGCCTGAGAAGTCCTATCTAATTAACATGGGAGTGAGACACACCTTGAGCAACGCAGAGCATATCAATATTTGGACTTTAACCCAATGTCAGGAAAACAACTTGAATTTCAAAATCAAGTCACACTCCTGGATGTTTTTTAAAATACAACCTATGGCATATTGAGGTTGATATAGGATCATTTCTCCTTCCAAAGGGGAAAGCAAAAGGTGAAATCCCAGTGCCCACACAAGGGTTCTTAGGGGCCGTACAAAGAGCTATTGGCTGTGTCCCAGACAACTCAAGAAGATAAGAGGCACACAACTACAAAAACATAGAAGCTTAGGGGTAGCCAGGATGTCTGTGAGGCACCACTGAAGGGCAGAGAGAACAGCTACAATTTGCCTTGGAGTTCAAGAAAAGGGGGGAAAATAGACCAAATCAGGAAGCAATGGAAAACTCCAGATAAGAAGAAAAAAAAGAAGTGTCAACTGATAGGAAAGAAGAGAAGGAGTAAAAGGAGTATAAACGATTAACCAGTTGTGCAAACCCCTATTCCTAAAAAAATCTAGATAGAAAAGTTATCCATCTGTTCAAGGCAGTACAGTTTATGGGAAAGAATATTGGGAATTGGCTTGACCTGGCTCAAATCTCAGATCTATTGTATGTTGATTGTCTGATCCTTATGCAAGTCTTTTAAACCTTTATTTGCCTCAGTTTCCTCCTCTGTAACATGAGGATAAAAATAACATCATAGGCCAGGCATGGTGGTACATGGCCTATCATCAGCACTCAAGAGGTTGAGGTAGGAGGATCACCTGAACAACATAGTGAGTTCAAGGCCAGGCTAAGCTACACAGCAAAACTCTGTCTCAAAACAAAACAAAAAAACCCAACATTTTACCTGATGGATTTGTTCTGAAGATCACATCAGAGTACATGTGCAAGAGCTGAGTACATAACAGGAGCTCAGTGGATGACTATTCTTAACAATTCTCTCCCCTCACACACCTGTGTTGAGTCTAACACATCTCACTGGTTGATGTATTTCTTTTTCTTTTTTTTTTTTTTTTTTTTTTGTATCTGTAATCAAACTCAGGGCCTTGCACTTGCCAGACATGCACTGTACCACTGAGTTATATCCCCGACCCTGAAGGATTTCTTTACAGCTTAACCGGGTTGCCCCTAGCAGCTTTGCCTCCAAAATTCCAGGCTTAAGAAAAATAACATCCATGCCTCTGTTTTCCAATGCTGAGTTGTTTTGTTTTTTTGAGACGGGGTTTCACTGTTTAATGCAGGCTGGCATTGAACTTCATTGTATAGCCCAGGCTGGCCTCGAACTCACAGCAATCCTCCTACCTCAGCCTCCTGAGATTACAAACTAAGATTACTGGAGCATGCCACCATGCCCAGCTTGCATGCTGATTTAAACACACAGCACAAATTCACTGAGGCTGTTTGTTTTTTAAAACAAGGTCTTACCATGTAGTTCAGGCTGACCTTGAACTTACTATGTAGCCCAGGTTGGCCTTGAATTTGCCACAATCCTCCTGCCTCAGCCTCCCAATGCTGGGTTTATTGAAGAGTGCCACTACACCTGGTACCAAGGTGGTATTTTTTTAAATTAAATTATTAAGAAATGTTTAGAGACATAAACTATGTCCTATAGACTGCCTCTTCTTCCCTCTGTGTTTTTTGTTTCGTTCTGTTTTGCAGTACTAGGGATTGAACTCAGAGCCTTCACACTGTACTACCAAAATACATCCTCAGTTCTTTTTAAATTTTTTATTTTAAGACAGAGTCTTGATAAATTGCTAAATTGCCCAGGGTAGACTTGAACTTATGCGCCTCTTGCCTCAGTCTCCCAGAGTACTAGGATTACAGGTTTGCTCCACTCAGCTTCCTCCAATTTTTTTACCACATTCCTTACTTTTTCCAGTTGCTGTTACCCAGCCCCTTCCTTTCACAGCAAAGAGGCCCACCCAGAACTGAGTGCAGGGCTTCTTTAGGAATCACCGGCCTGCTGTGGAGCACACTGATGACAGACATTGACCTGCATTTCCTCCAGTCCAAGCCTGCCTGTGCTCCTCAGAGTTGGTGCCCTGCTTCCAGCACATTTTCTGGCAATGTAAGGACAGACATGGTGGAAGGTGGAGAGAGGCTTGCTTTTGCCTGCCTAAGGGACCTAGAAGAATTTCCTCCCTAGAGCAATTGGCAAACTCCTGAGAGTGGGAGGTTAAAAAGCACCTGATACTGAGGGCAGGTCCACAATAGCACAGTGGAGAAAAAAGAGATCCTGGTTTTGGCGGACCATTTAGTACCCCTCAAAGGCAGCATTGTTTTATCTTCTTGAGAAGCATCACACACACACACACACACACACACACACACACACACACACAGACATGCTAAGAATCAAACTTAGAGTCTTCCACACTGAACTACATCCCCAGACCTTTTTCCATTTTTTATTTTGAGACAGGGTTTCACAAAGTCACCCAGGCTGGGCTCAAATTTGACATCCTTTTGCCTCAGCCTTCCAGAGTGCTGAGATTACTCATATGTGCAATCACACCCAGCTCCTAGAATGCTGTTAACACCCTTGATAACTGGGTATGGTGATGTATGCCTGAAATTCTAGCACTTGGGAGGCTGAGACTGGAGGATCACTGCGAGTTTGAGACCATCCTGGGCTACATAGTGAGTTCAAAACCAATTTGGACTACATACTGAGACCTTGTCTCAAAAAGACAAAAACAAAATAAAACACCCTTGATCACTGACTATGTATGATCTGGGCTAGCTGGGCATGGTGGCTCACGCCTGTAATCCCAGCACTCAGGAGGCTGAGGTGGGAGGATTTTTGTGAGTTCCAGACCAGCCTGGGGCTACAAAATGAGCTCAAGGCCAGCCTGAACTGCATAGCAAGACCCCGTCTCAAAAAAGACAAAAAGAAAAAAGAAATGAACTGGGCTAAGAACTTTTTTAGATGGCCTTAAGAAGCCTTATCATCACCCTGGGTGGTATGTATGTATGTAAGTATGTATGTATTTTGGTTTCTTGAGACAGAGTCTCACTATGCAGTGCAGGCTGGCCTTGAAGTCACTACATAGCCCAGGCTGGCCTTGAGCCCATGGAGGTCCTCTTGCTCAGCCTCCGAAAAGTTGCGGTTAAAGGCTACACCACCATATCCGGCCACCCTGAGTATTAACAGAATCTGTGAACAAGTAAGCAGGCTCATATAAATTCAGTAAGTAGCCCAAGGTCTTATTAAGTGAAAAATCAGAATTCAGACCTGAAGCTATGTGACTCTTGCCTAATCTGCTTTTTCCTTGTGACCTCTCACTTTCTCCTCCTGGCTTGTCCTCATCATGGGCCCACCTACCCATCCCCTCTACAAGCTGATTTTCCTACAATTTGAGGAGAAATGGTCAGGATTTGTTTTGTGGCACTAGAACTGGAATGTGCTAACAGCCAAACAGCCTTCATGTTTTCTGAGTTTGTACAGGTAACATTAGCTTTTGCTTGCTTTTCTTTACAGCAAGCCCTTTCTTTTGCTGACACCACCTGCAAAGGTACATGGAATCTGCTGTGGAAATAGTCTAAATTTCTGCTTCAGACACTATTGTATTTCATCTAACCCTCCCACTTTCTAGTTTGTGATGTTGGGGAATGAGTTATCTGAGTTTCAGCTTCCTCATCAAGAAAATGCCTTAATAGGCTTCCTAACCGTGTGGAAAGAAAAAAATGTACAGGAAAATGCTAATCACAGTTCTTAGTTTCATAAATATGAGCTCCTTTTCCTCCCCTCTAGCTCACACAAACCCTGGAGGGGATCTAAGCCTAGGAAAAATTCTGCTGACCTTAAGTTTTTGCTAGGGCCATGAAGAGGGCCTCAGTCCAGAGTCTCCTGGCCCACTAGGGTCCCCTCTTACATGCACCTGTCTTTCATCTCCCTTGCCCCATGGCCATTCTTCTGATGGGGCCATGGCGCCGGTGCAGCGATGGACCGGGCGGGCACAGAACAGGTGGGTGCAGGCTGGGTGTCCGGCACTAGGACACAAGTGCTCTGTGTGTAGGGTGGGCGGAAGTCAGGGCGTTTGATCTGAATTCTAAAGGGCGTTGTTCAGAGACCCACAAAGGTCCCATTGTGCAGGCACTGGGTATAAAGCAGCATATGACTCCTCAGCACCCGGTGGTGATGAATTGGAACGCAGGCGCGGACTCAGGGATCACTCCCCCTCCACAGACATGAGACCATAGGGGACCTGTCTGGGTGGCCTCAGGAATAGGTGCTCCCCAAGGTAATGGCTCTGTTCAGTCTCCCCAGGTCTGGAGTTAGGAGGTGGGAATAGGGAGTCAGAGGATGGCTGATGGCAGAAGAAGATGGGCCTGGTAAAGAAAGGGACTAGAGAGAAAAGAATGTTAGATGAATGTGAAAGAGGGGGATGGGGCTCAGGGAAGTCAAGTTGAGTGAATGAGGAGGAGGAGAGATTGGCAGGGGAGATGGGGTGATGGGGAAAGCTACAATGATATCTCCCTTCCTTCCCTGACACTTGAAAGAAGGGAGAGGGTTGAGCAGCATTATGGTGCATAGCTTCCTGACATTTTGCTTTGTGCCTTGTGTTTTGCAGGTGTGAATGAAGCAGGATGAACTGGACAGGTTTGTACACCTTGCTCAGTGGTGTGAACCGGCATTCTACTGCCATTGGCCGAGTGTGGCTGTCAGTCATCTTCATCTTCAGAATCATGGTGTTGGTGGTGGCTGCAGAGAGTGTGTGGGGTGATGAGAAATCTTCTTTCATCTGCAACACCCTCCAACCCGGCTGCAACAGTGTCTGCTATGACCAGTTTTTCCCTATTTCCCACGTGCGTCTGTGGTCCCTGCAGCTCATCTTAGTTTCTACCCCGGCTCTCCTTGTAGCCATGCACGTGGCTCACCAGCAGCACATAGAAAAGAAAATGCTGCGACTTGAAGGCCATGGAGACCCCCTACACCTGGAGGAAGTGAAGAGGCACAAGGTGCACATCTCAGGAACACTGTGGTGGACCTATGTCATCAGCGTGGTGTTTCGGCTCCTATTCGAGGCTGTTTTCATGTATGTCTTCTATCTGCTCTACCCTGGCTATGCCATGGTGCGACTGGTAAAGTGTGAGGCCCACCCCTGTCCCAACACAGTGGACTGTTTTGTGTCCCGCCCCACCGAGAAAACCATCTTCACCGTCTTTATGCTGGCTGCCTCGGGCATCTGCATCATCCTCAATGTGGCCGAGGTGGTGTACCTCATCATCCGGGCATGTGCCCGCCGAGCACAGCATCGCTCCAATCCTCCCTCCCGCAAGGGCTCAGCCTTTGGCCACCGCCTCTCACCTGAATACAAGCAGAATGAGATCAACAAGCTGCTGAGTGAGCAGGATGGCTCCCTGAAAGACATACTGCGCCGCAGCCCTGGCACCGGGGCCGGGATGGCTGAGAAGAGCGACCGCTGCTCAGCCTGCTGATGCCACCAACCAGGCAACCTCCCACCCCATGCCCCCACCCTGCCTTGGGCCTGCCCTTCCTTCTCCCCTGCTGGTGCACAGGCCTAGGCCTGCTAGGAATTACCCCATCAGAACCTTCCTGTCCTCCTTACTACCTTCCCTCTCAGGGACTTCTCTCTGAGGAGGTAGAGGGGTTGGGAGCTGGAGACCACCTTGATCCGGTGCTCAAGGTTACTGAGGGTGTGGGCAGGTCTTACTGCCTGTACCCCTTTCTCTTCCCTCTCCCTCTTCCTGGGACCACTGGGCACAAGAGATGGGATCCTTTGACAAACGTCTCCAATGTTGAAACTAATTTTAACCCCGTGCTGTCAGATACCTATTTCTGGAGTCACATCAGTGGGGATGGATGTGGGCAAGTGGAGTGGAGGAGGGGTGCTGTGGATGTGGACATGTGGGTGGAGAAGGGAAGGTAGCAGCAAGCATGAGGGAAAGGAAGACACCTTTGGGGCCAGGGAATTAGGGAGGGAGGAGCAGGCAGAAGAGTGGGGGTTGGTCAAGGCTGCCCCGTCTCCATCCCTAAGGCCTCTCTCTGCCTGAAATGCTACACATTAAACAGGATTTTACAGTATATGAAGAGATGGGTGTGTGTTTGTCAAAGTTCTTTCTCCTGCAACACCTGACCTCCCCCTGGATGAGCTGGGATGCTGGCTTTTTGCTGATCAAGAAAGGAAGGAGGCAAAAGAAAGAATGATTTGAAGCTGCAGATGAGGAGCTACTACTGCACTCATGGCTGGGCAAAACAAGATCCTGAGTCTTCTGCTTTGTTCTCCTTGTTGTCTTTGTTTTTCACTTTTTATAGCTGCATTGGGATCTAACCCACATATATCCTCCCCTCCCTGTGATTTTAAACAATGAAAATGACAATTCTCCCTGGAGAGACAGGAAATGACAGAAATTTCTCACATTTGAGAGAGTGACACACATTCCCTGAGTACCCTGGCAAGTACATTCTCCCACACTCCTGGAGTTGTCCGCTTAATCTTCAGAAGCTCTGCATACCCCTTCCCACAGTCCACCAGTCAGTTTACACAATGACTCTGACTTCTTTCCTTTGAATTTAGTTCCTAATTCTATCCTCTGCCCCAGCTTTTTTTCTTCATTGATTTCTGAATCAGTACTCACACCCTAGATAGCCTGCCTCCCTAAGTCAAACATGTCAGAGGTCACAGCCAGTTTCCTTTGCAATACCACCCTCCCCCATCAGCTGTGGTAGGAATATCTCCAAGGCAGGGGAGAAGACATAGAAATTAGGAGACCTGGATGAAGCTAGGTTCAGATCCTAGGTGTGTCACTTACTAACAAAGCATCCCGTACCCCAAGCTTGTTTCCTTGTGAGCAAACAATGGTCAGGTTAGTACATTGCTAGGCTCCTTTCAACACTGTGCCTCTGGGATCTTCAAAAGACTTCTGCAGCTTTAAAGGGCTTTACCATCTCTGAGCCAGTGCCTTCACCAATGGCCCCTCAGTCAAAGTTTCCCCCATGGCAAGCACATTTCCCTCCTCAGCTTCCCTGTCTCTTAAGAGTAGAAAACATTTCCGCTCCCTCTCTGACTATGTAGGAAGTGTATCAGAGAGGAAAAATCAAGCATAATCTCAATCAGAATTGTTTTCCCTCTGAGAGTTTTTTCTCTTCAAAGAAGAAGCATGCAAGAGTCGTTCCTTCAAAGAAATTGCTCCCTTAGAAAAGAAAGGAAAACTGGGTATGATGCATGGTTGTAAACCCAGCATTCAGGAGGCTGAGGCGGGAGAATCTCAATTCAAGTCCAACCTGGGCTATACAGTGTGTTCAAAAACAGCTTGAGCTACATAGTGAGACCTTGTCACAAACAGCCAAAACTAAAAAAATTTCTTCAGAAAGAAAAGGAAGCCAGGTGTGGCGGCATATACCTGTCATCCCAGCACTTGGGAAGCTGAGGCGGGAGGGTCACTATGTGTTTGGAGACAACCTGAGCTACATAGCTACAGAGTGAGTACAAGGCCAGCCTGAACTACACAGTGAGACCCTGTCTCAAAAAAATTATAATATATATATATATATATAATAACCCTGAGAGTTTCTCCACTCTCAAAAACACTTCTTTCCTGCCAGAAATTTTCTTTCTCCTTAGAAAATGACATGACATGCTGTCAGAGGAAGCACTCATGGTGGCAGAATATTCCTTTTCTTGTAGAAATCTACCCCCTTCACCCACAACACAAAAAACAGCATTTCTTCTCTTCCCAAAAGGCTATTAAGAGCAAGATTTTTCTTAGTCCATGAGGAAACCTCATATCCTGCCCACAGTAAGAAACGCTAAAACCCCATGAATCTAGTTTGTCTTCAAAAGATACTACCAATCCCTCTTGGAAAGAGGTTCTAATTCCAGATCAAGGCTTTCCTTCTCCAGGGGGCAGTGGTGGAACAAAAAAAGCTATTGAGCTGTGTGTTAACAGCTGAGGGAGGACATGCTTGCCTTCTTTTTATAGTTGTTTTGAGACAGGGTCTTGCTATGTAGTTCAGCCTGGCCTTGAATTCACTGTGTAGCCAAGGTTGGCCTCGAACTCCTGCCAATTCCTCCCAATGCTGGGATTACAGGTGCATGCCACCAAGCCCTACTCCAGGACATGCATTTTTGTGTCCTATGAACCAGGTGGGAGCAGGTTGAAGGAACTTTTAGGGGAAATTAGTGGATTCAATGTCTCAGGGAGATAAAGGGAGGATCAACCTAACCATAAGACTTTTTTTTGAGACCTTGTTATGATAGTGTAAGGGAGAGAAATTGAGGCAAGTGGGGCTTAGTACTTGTCACATAATAGATAATGTGTTGAGGGACCAAGGTAGGGAAGAGGGCATTGGAATTAGGAGACCTGGCTCTCCACTGACTAGCACTATCCCTTGGATGCATTATACTCATTCTCTCCAGGTCTGTTTTCTTATCTACAATATAGGGTTTAGAGCCTAGCATGGTGATGCACATCTGTAATCCTAGCACTCTGGAGGCTGAGGCAGGGGGATCTCTGTGAGTTCAAGGCCAGCCTGAACTACATAGTGAGACCCTGCCTAAAAAAGAAAATATATATATATATATATGGTTTATAACACCCTTTCTGTCTTTCACAGAGCTTTTGTGAGAATCAAACAAGACATGATCAGCTGGGAATGTAGCTCAGGGGTACAGTGCTTGCCTAGCATGTACAGACTCTGGATTCAAACCTCATTACAGCCAAAACAAGATATTCTCAAAACCTGGTTATAGGTGGGCATTCTGGCACAGCCTGTACTATCAGCACTCAGGAGGCTGAGTGGGAGGACTACTGAGAGTTCCAGGCCAGCCTGGGCTACATAATGAGTTCAAGGCCAGCCTGACCCTGTCTCAAAAAAATGCTGGTTGTGAACTATAGAGGAAGGTAATTTTTTTAAGCACTGAGATCATGGCTTTACAGCAACTAGAACATTTTGATGGAAGCTCTAAAAAGGAGTGAGGCCGGTTCAGCTAGCTGAAACTAGTGCCAAAGAACTTGGTAATATAGGGAGCCAGGTACGGTATCATACTTCTGTAATCCCAGCACTCAGCAGGTAAAGGGGACTGGGAGTTTGAGGACAGCTTGGACTACATAGTAAGGTCTTGTTTCAGAAAAAAAAAGGAAGAAAGCAGGCATGGTGGCATGCTGGCACAAGCCTATATTCCTTCCCAGCAGTTGGGAAACTGAGGCAAGAGGATTGAGGCCAGCCTGGGCTACAAAGTGAGTTCAAAGCCATCCTAACTTCATAGTGAAGCTTTGTCTCAAAAAGACAAAAAAGGAAAAAAGAAAAACTAAGTTGGCAATAATGGAGTTGGCTCCCTCAGGAAGCAAATAGCAGTACAAACAGTAAAGTCTAAGAGATATTGCAGACTTGAGGATAATTCAATGAAGGTTAATATACAAGAGGTCTAATCTAGGGGCAGAAAAGGCCTAGTAACAGGGACTTCTCAGACATTGTCACAATGCTGGTGTTTTTAGAGATACCTGTGGTCTTTTAGATGTGTCTACGTGCAGAGATGCCAGGAGCCATGGTAAAGGGCAGAGTTCACTCCTGAATGAAGAGGCGGCTGAACTAGGGGTATAGTCAAGATCTCAGCCAGCTGATTTGAGATTTCAGAGCAAGCTTCAGTATCCATAGAGAATTGGCATAGCAACCACAAACTGGATTCAGATGCTCAGTCAGATAGCCTGGGTGCACACAGTGGGGGATAGAGGGAAATGCATACTCTACTTACTGATTCTACAATACTTAAATGCCAGGCCTGACCTGTGGTGCACAAGGGGCTGCATAGTCCTACCAAACTGGGCTCCCTTTGACTCCTAGACTAGGCCAGGCTGAACCTACAGGATCAAGTAGGAAAAGGATTGAGGCATTCCAGAGAGAGGATAAAGCAGGCAGAATACATACAGACATCTGAAAAACGTGTTGTGTATCCTCAGAATTAAGACAATGCTCTGTAGATGATCAGGAGCAGAATGAATAAATGGGAGGTGGGGAAGATAAACTATGACTAGATCATGATGGGGCTTATGTAATTAGGAGTGGTTAGTAGACATTCTAGATACTGAAGAAATCATTAAAGGTTTTGCTTTGTTTTGCAGAACTGAGGGTTGTTTTTGTTTATTTGTTTTTGTGTTTGAGATAGTGTTTCACTGTGCAGTTCAGGTTGGCCTTGAAATCACTTTGTAACCCATTCTGGCCTCAAACTCACAGCAATCCTCGTGCCTCAGCCTCCCAAGTGCTGAGATTACAGGTGTACACCACCACGCCTGGCAGTACTGGGTACCGAACCCAGGCCTTTTGCACTGAGCTATATCCTCAGTCCTTTTTTTATGTTGGGACAAGTTCTCACTAAATTGCCCTGACTGGGCTTGAATTTGGGATCTTCTTGCCTCAGTCTCCCAGAGTACTGGGATTATAATTATGTACCAACATGTTTGAAACCATTAATGGTTGTTAAGGAGAGGAGTGACACCTTCAGATTTGTGTGTTTTAGGCTGAGTCTTTTTTTTTTTTCTTTTTTCTTTTTATCGGTACCAGGGATCGAACTCATGACCGCCTGCTCGCAAGGCAGGTACTTATGCCACTGAGCTAAATCCGCAGCCCCAGATTTGTGTGCTTGGAACTATCACT